ACTCCATTGCTGTTTATGGTCAAGCGTTAATGATTCATCAAATTCTTTAAGTGTTAACACAACTTCGTTTTAAATTTGCAACATTTTTTATAAGCTGCATACTTGACTATTTGATCACTGATACCAAATAATTTATATGCCATATATAGAGATGTTAAAAAATATGAATATGTATTTTCATTATTTAATATTAACAAAGATCTTATAAATTTTATAAGGCATTAGTAACCGTATCTGATAACTGATACCTCTCATGATATTTGAGAATCCAATATACGATCCACATAAAACTTTGATTAATATTTGCAGTTGATATATCAGGATATTCGTCGCTGTAAACTGATTCTGGGACATCAAAGTTAATAGTTCGTCCTTCTTCCTCTGCTTCGTCTTCGCTAAAATATATATCTTCATCAATATCAAATTCATCAGATTCTTCTTCACTTTTAGATAAAATCTGCTCAATTATAACTATCAGATAATTGATTTTACGTTGCCTTTATTTTTCTTTAGATTTTGGTTTAACAAGAAAATTGAATTCTTGTATATTATTTGCTTCATCACCATCACTATTATCATCTAATTCTATTTCATTCACCTCTATGAAATCCTCTATAGAATCTTCTATAGGAATACGGCTCTGGCTTGTACTCTCTTTGATTCATACATCAGAAAGTTCAATGATGTTTCTCGTTCTAAACTCTCTTTCTTTCTTCATATATGATTCTTTTGTACACAGATCAACTTTACGACCTTTACATGATTTACAGTCGCATGTCACATGTTTTCTGGTAGTTGATTTAGAAGTTTTTGATATTTTAGATATATTTTCTTCAAAAACTTCTTTCGATTATACAAAATTTCTTTTTGATTTGCGCGTTATATTAAAAGTTTCGAAATACTAATTATATTTAATTTCGATTAAATTTATCGATATATATAACAATTTTAACAATATAAATTTAATTGATTGTTAAATGGAAAATTGTTAAACTGAAACAATATAACAATATCAATTTAATTATTTGAATGTAGTAAATTAACAATCTGATAAGAACAAACAAAGTTTAATAAAGTATAAATAGTAATTAAAGTAATAAAAGTTAATTTATTCTTTATCTTTTTTTTGCAATATGCAGTAAAATGTGATAAATAAACAAAATGCTTTATTTTATATAACTAGTTACACGAAAGAATATTTTGGACTCATTATAAGACTATTGGTAATGTTTTGATAATATGCATAAAATATTACATTATAACTAAGTTACTCAAAAGAATATTTTAAACTCGCTATAGAAATCAATAATTAGAAGTTACGCAAATAAAAATTTTCGTTGGGGACTATAAGTAATGCTTATATCAAAAATTATATGAAAAAATGCATGAATAATTACGTATTATTACGAAAAACTAATAAATTTGAAAAAAAAATACATAGCTTAAAGTTAACGTTATTTTACATTTTTTTTATGATAGAACAATAATTTCACAATGAAGAAACCAAAATATATAAGAAAGGCCTTTTCTTTATTAAATTTTATAGATGCTTTTATCCATTATTACAATTGTTCTTACACTTTAGTAACATGCATAGTAAAAAACCCTTCAGAATCAATAGAATTTCTAATGAAAGAGCTTCTTCTCGTGATCAGCGTCATCATCATAATAATCAAGGTCACAGATCAATATCTCTAAGAAGTCTGATTGGTAATTGAGAACATTCGACACATTGAGACTAAAGAAGATGACGTTCAATTTCTTGTGAAGTTAATAGAAGCCATTCGACCTACTGAAATACAGAAAGAAGACGTTCAGTTTCATGTAATGATGATAGAGACCATTCAACTTACTAAGATTCACGTTCAATTCTTTATGAAAACAATAGAGGTCATTCAACCCACCGAGATCCACATTTGATTCCTCATGATGATGATAAAGAACATTCAATTCATTGAGATCCACATTTGATTCCTCATGATGATGATAAAGAACATTCAATTCATTGAGATCCACATTTGATTCCTTATGATGATGATAATAGAGAACATTTAATTCATCAAGACTCACATTCGATTTCTCATGATGATAATGATAGAGAACGTTCAATTCATTGAGATCCAGAAAGAAAACAATCAATTCTCTGTGAATACAATAGAAACTGAAGTCAGGAAAGAAAGTGTCCAATTCTTTATAATTTATCAAGATGGTCTGATGATAGTAACAGAAGTTTGAGCAGAAGTTCTAGACTGTATAAAAATTCAGAAATAAATGGTAAAATTATTAATTAAATTGTTAATATGAGGATAACTTAAGCTTTTACATTTTATATTATATGTAATAGAAATCGAAACAATAAATTTAACACTTAAACATTTGATTAAAGAAGTCAAAGTTTTGAAGAATGTGCTGCAAGTTCAGTCCATACGTCTTAATAAAGATAAAGTATCTGTAACTCTGGAATCACCAGAAGGATATGCATGAAGATCTCGTTCAATACTCAAAAAGATGTCTAATGAACAATTCAAGATTTTTAGGGTATATTAAATTTAATATTCCAGAGCGAATAAGTCGAGGTTAATAATTTTATTTATACTTATTTAAATTTAAAACGAAGTTGTGTTAACACTTAAAGAATTTGATGAATCATTAACGCTTGACCATAAACAGCAATGGAGT